TTATGTTTATCTGGGAGAGAAAAAAATACACACATTGGTATTTTTAACAAAAATTCCACTGATGTGAAACTGCCCCATTTTTGTGCAATTATTATTCAGCCAGTGTTACATGCTTTTCAGTATGTTTTATTGGCTACTTCATTAGGTCATCTAGCTGTGTACTAATAAATTCAAAATTAAGAGTTAAACTTGCTATATTTGAATGAGAGCCCATAGTGATCCAGAAAGAGAACACAGAGAAAACAAAAGTCAGGCTTCACAGGCCCTGCTACACCACCCTCAGCTCCTCTTAAGTGGAGTAAAGAAAGTTGCAGGAAGGGTTCCTTCATCCCTCTGGTGGACTGACCCTGGCTGGATGCCAGATGCCCACCAAAGCCACTCCACAGTTACCTTTTTCAGCTGGACAGGAGACAGGAAATACAGTGAGAGGCTCATGGGTAGAGATAAGGGCAGGGAGAAATCACTCACCAGTTGCCATCGTGGGCAGAACAGACCCAACGTGGGGGAAAAATGAATTTCATTTGTTGTCAAATGCTGCAGAGGAATCTCAGCTCTGACACCTGGAGCACCTCCTCCCCCTCCTTCTTCGCTGACCATGGTATCTTTTAAAAATTCTCACTCCTCTGTTCTGACTGCTGCTGGTGGTGTGTTTCATAATTATATCATCCCTGAGGCACTGCCAGTACCTGATGGGCTCTGCCCTGGCCAGCAGCACATCCATCCTAAAGCCAGCTGGCATTGGCCCTTTCAGACACGAGGGAAGGCTGTGGCAGCTTTTTTGAGGAGCCACACCTGTAGCCCCTCAAACCAAATACAATTTGTAAATGATTTTACTATTTTGAATTTCTTCCAGTAGCTTACCTTTCATCATCACACCTTGTATCCTAATTGTTCATACTATAGGTCTGGCCAACAATGTCTACCAGGTTTTACCGCAGTACTTAAAGAAACTGTGGCTGTAGCAGAGTGGAATGTGTACCTCAGCCTCTCTTTTAGCCCAAGTCTGCCTTTGTAAGTTATTGCATCAAAGATTTTGCTTTCAAAAAGGAAGTGCTAGAATATGGACATGTGTTGCACTCTGAGGACAATTGTCTGTGGTAGAGGAGCAGGTTGGATGCAAGAGGGCATAAACTCCCACCACTGCAGCAAAGTAAGATTCAGCTGATCTCAGCCCTAGCACCTGCTGCTTCCAAAGTCTGGAAGAGGATCATAGCCAGGTAATGACCTATTACAACGCAAACATTCCAAAAGCATGCTCAAAGGTCTTCGGGCAACCCCTAATTTCAGGACACCTACTGCTGTTTCAAAGGCTACCCCTGTAATTCATCTCTGAGCAATTTAAACAGGCAGAAGCAAACTGTGAATGGTTACACGTATTCGTTTTGCTTTCAAAGCCTCCATAATTTCAGAGCACGTATACAGTAACAGTAACTCCATTCTGACTGACCACGGAAACCAGCATTAAAAAAGCAGTGGCAATGAGGCTGATAAAACAAGTCAGATGAACACTTTAACTGGGACAGTGACTGGAGAAATACAGCCCGAACTCCCAGCTCTGATCAGAGTGGATGGACTGTTGGTAATGATAGCATAGGGTTAAAATGTTTCTAAAAATCATGGGAATTGCATACAATAGATTCAGGAGGGTGGAAAGGAAGATTGGGTCTGGTAGGCCTGGGAAAGAGAACTAGGCCCTGGGAACGAATATTGAGCTTTGTTTTTTCTAGATCATGTGAAGCTACACCTGCGTAATCATCACATGATAAATGATATGACTGTTAAATGTAACGATTGTTTGGTAACTGAATGTGATTATTATTTAATCGTAGTAAGAATCATGAGAAACGATGTAATCATGAGAAAGAATATTGGGGGGGCCTAATGAAAATTACAAGAATACATGCTTGGGTAAGATCAATATGTATATAGTATAAAATAGAACAATATGAGTTCAATAATTAATATACAGCTATATAACGAAAAGGGTATAAAAACACGTTCATCTCGGATCCATGTGGGAGTCAGATTTGGGTCTGCACCCCTGATTCCCAGAGCTCTTCAATAAAGCACCTGCATATAATCATTCTGTGATTATGTGTTTTCAACGCTATCAGTAACACGAGGTACAAAGACCATGTGTTCAATCAGGGCCTGTCACCATCTTCCAGCTTCACAGGGGTTTTAGAAGGTTCCAGTCGGTTTTAATACGGCATATCCTCAGGTACTCAGGCAGGACTCCTCCAAAGAAAGCACAGGTATAGCTAGCACAGGTATCTACATCAAAAGTTGTCTGAACAATGGGCTTTTAGCTATTAATGAATAAATGTATTTTAGTGATTTTCTTTCTGAGCATCTTCCTATACTGCTTAATGGTAAGTAAATCACATTAAGCCCAAAGGCTTAATGCATTAAAGAATACAGCTTAAAACATAGAGAATAAAATTTTACTCCTAATAAGCTACTGACTTTTCATGAATATGATTTTAAACCTGTTTCTCTCTTCATTATACAGAACAGTCTAGACTAGGAGGAGATGCGACGCCAGCAACATGAAATTGTTTTTCTGAAGTTTGTTACATTCCTGTCTGTCCATCAGATTAATTTATTGAGTGGCTTTGGCTTGCAGGAGAAAATCTGAAACAGCCTTCTTTTAAAGAGCCTTGACTTTTGTTTGTCCAGCAGACTGCAACTGCACCAAATGGAAAAAAATAAGCCACTATCTGCTTTTATTATTTTTATTAACAGATGCTTTTCTAGAGGGACAGCTGAACACCTGCAGAACACACATCGCAGGCTGGAAGCAGGGTTTGAGAAGATACATATAATGACTCACTGCTCACAATAAGAAAACTCTTGCTTACATCACCCCCATCCCTCTTCCTCTGAACTGCTCCCTGCTCTATGACCCACCCTCTCCCTCCTCTGGGTTATGCTCCTCTACAGACAGGAAAATAACAACGTTATTTTTGCTTCTTTGTTTTTCCAGTGCTTTAGTATGTTAAACTGGCTCACAGAAACATTTACAGAACATCACAGCCCATGTAAGGTGCAAGAAAGGGGTAGAGAGGAATTAAGAGCAAAGCATCCAACAGTGCACACTCCTGTCCACTGCATCTCACTGACAGTGTAACTTGACAGCTGAGGCAAATAAAACAGCTACTGGATCAGAAAAGGCTCCATCCTTTCCGGTTCTTCCCCACCAAAATGCTTCACTCTGCATTCATTCATTCATTCATAATTAAGTTTGTTTAACTCACCAACCCAGCCCATAAAAACTCCTAATGTATTTTTAATGGCTTTTGCTGCTGATTTAGCAAGTTGAGTCACTTAGTGAGCGAAGAGCTCCTGAGCCAGCATCAAGCAGAGCTGTGGGAATACAGCCCAGAGCCTGGCAAAGGGATCCTTTCCTGGAACCAGGAACGTGATGGAAAGGAGCAGGACTTCCCCTTGTTAGTTGTACTAACTATGCCCGGTGGTTTGGATCAAGGCATTTTGTTAAACTGTACCCTGAACTACACCCTCAGCGAAGCTGTGAATGCAGCCCAGTGAAGGCGAACTCGCTGAACTGCTGATGCGCCCTTTAGCATCGCATTCCTGAGGACAAGGCGAGATACTATCAGACATTTCCCAAACGACACCCCTCAAGCACAGCCGGATGCCTTCTGTGGCATATACCTGCAGATTAGTCAAATGAACTTGCAGTGCTTCTCTTTTTGCAGATGATACATCTGCATATAAACCTAATTTTCCCATGAAAATCGTGCACTTTGCCGTTTGGTGCCCGGACGCACACTGCCCCTCAAACAGCTCGATTTAACCAGTTCCTAGGGCTTGCTCGGTCGAAGGGGAAGAAACCCCGCCGGGCCGAGGCCTCCCGCGGGCGCCGCAGCAAGGCCGGGGCTCTCCCCGAGGTGAGGCGCTACCGCAGCCCGGCCAGCGCCTCCTCCCGCCGCGGCACTCACCTGCTTCAGCCCGGAGGTGACGGGCCGCGCCTTGCCCTTGGCCTTGGTCCTGAGGACGCCGCTGCGGGCGATGCGGAACACGCTGCCGGCCTTGGCGGCCCCGCCGCGGCTCTTGCCCATGGCGGCGGCTGCGGCGCGCGGCCGGGTGACGTCACGCGGCGCTGTGACGCGGAGAGCGGCCAATGGCTCACAGCGCTGTCACGGGCCGGGCGCCGCGCCGCGCGGGGCCGCCAGGGGGCGCGCGCCGCCTCGGGCGGGCGCTGTGGAGGCGCAGCGGGGGAAGTGGCGCTGTCCCTGTCCCTGTCCCTGTCCCTGTCCCTGTCCCTGTCCCTGTCCCGTCTCGGCCTCAGACTCGGCCCTGCTTGTCTCTCTCGCGCCTTCCGCAGCCAGCTTTTGCGGCACGGGAAGGCTGAGAACTCCTCGGTGCGCGCCCGCAGCCCAAGTGCCGATCCCAAAGCTCCGCGTTGCCACAAGCACGTGCCCACGGGCAGCTCCTGCCACACGCTTGGATAAATTCCCAGTGGGATGTGGGATACCCTCTTGCTTCAGTGCCCCACTTGGGAAAACGTGAAATCTTCCTGCAGCCTATCCCAAAGGGAATTGGGTTTACACCCCTGGGAGAAAAACGGGACGGGATGCAACGGTGCGCACTTGGCTTTACTTTCGGGGGTAGCCCCAGGAATGGACACTTCGGTCTTTCCGTGCTGCGCAACTCGTGCTCTGGCGGGACAGGGGCTGGCGGAGCCACCTTCCCTCTGTTGGAGCGGTCCCTTGAGAGATGGCACTGCCTCTCCCGGGCCACCCCGAAGGTGCTGGGGGGAGGCTGGGGAGAGCCTGGGTGACGAAGGGCTTGGGGCGACAACAGGCACGGACGGGCCGGGAGGCCGGAGCGCCGCAGGTCTTCTTATCAGCGCCCGAGGATCGGGGCGTCGCCGCCCGTCGCCTTCAAATGGGGCGCAGCCGCCTCTCCCGCCCCAGCCCGTCCCATCCCATCTTGTCCTGTCCTGTCCCGTGCCGTGCCGGCAGGAGAGCAGAGCCATGCTGCACTGGGGATACGACGAGCACAACGGTAGGGAACGGCGGCCGGGGCCGTCGGGGCGGCCAGCGGGGTCCCGCGGGCGGCGCTTCCCGCTGGGCTCGGCAGCTCCCGCGCCCTCGGGAGAGCTGGATGAGCTGAAATGCTTTCCAGCCTGAGAGCGATCCTGTTTTTGTCTCGACAATCTGCAAGGCAGGCGGCTGAGAGGTGTCCGTGCGTGCGGCATCGCCTGCAGAGCCGGCCGGGCTTGGCTGCGGCTCGGGTGTGCCGCGTTCCCGGTTGGGATTTCGTTGGCTCGTTTAGCTGAACAGTTGCGTGCACAGATCGAGTACGTGGTAGACAGCTGCGCTGATCGGAACTGCTGTACCAGCAGTGCTTTTCTGATTCCAGCTGTGTTCTGCTTCTGCTACACGGTGGGAAATCCTAGTTACTTGACGGGATTATTTAAATGTATAACTATGCACCTAAGAGGAGATGCTTTTGGATTTTAGTTGTTCGTGGTTTCCTTCATCTTGTTAGTCTTTGAAGTCCCAAGATGGGCTCATCGGCAGGCTTAAAGACTTTGCTCTGTTTTGCATCTTCAGTCATGCAAACGCTACTCCAATGTGCACTCGGTCTCACAAGTCATGCAAGTAGAAATGAAAGTGTTTTTGTAAATTGTAGGTTCAACTCTGATAAAATACATGGAATATATTTTATTGTCTGCACACAGAGAAATGAAATGCCGTGACAGTAAAGGGAGACAGCTATATATTTGCATATACTACTGCCTATAAGAATATGCTTTGTGTATGTTATTACTTATACTTTGGAATACTGTTTGTGCAGGTACTACCTTTCCTTCCTGGCCCTCTTGTTCCTTCTTTTCTGGATGGATGTACTTTTCCTGAAAAACTGGGTGGTGGTGGTGGATCACAGGGATGTTGCAATGATTGGGTGTGTTATCTGCTGTTGTGCAGTTTACCCTACCCCTCCCCTGAAGACGTAAATGGGTCTTGTTTTTCAAATTTTTTTCTCCGTACGTTTGTATGCTTTGGGCTTCACCTGCACTGTCCAGATAAGAAGCCCACTTTCACTCCTTTATCCTATCTCTTCTTGTTTGCTATTCTCGACTTCTAGCGAGGGGAGGCCACCAGAATTTCTATTGGGGTGGCCCTGGACCTTGCTTGAGGCCCCATGTCTCCTATAAAACTATCTACTCCTATGTTTCCTCCCCTTCCTCTTGGTGTCTGCAGAGCTGTTTCTCTCACTTATTCTCACTCCTCTCTTTTGGCTGCTGTTGCACAGGAACTTTTTCCTCTTCTTAAATCTGTTATCCCAGAGGTGCCAGTGCTGTCCCTGATGGGCCCAGCCTTGTCCAGCAGTGGGTCCATCCTGGAGCCAGCTGGCACTGGCCCTTTTGGGCATGTGGAAAGCTTCAGCAGCTTCTCACAGAAGCCACACCTGCAGCCTCCCTGCTACCTGTATTGTGTCACACAAACCTAATGCATAAGTTCTCAGTTACTTTGATGCACGTATTTCTGAAATGCAAGAAGGCATTATTTCATATCTGTGAAAACCTTGGCCTTTGCTGTCATGCCACTTTTCTTACCTCATAGTTTTGATGTGTTTATCTACAGAGACATAGTACTGAAATCTTGAAAATTGTTTTCAGTGTGGCATCGTGTACTCTTTTCACTGCTGCTCAAGGTTCCTGTCAGGATGGGAATGTTCTTGTCCCTTGAGTCCATTTTCGTTTACAGGAGAATTGATTTAGTTAAAGGCAAATCATAGATGAGTAAGGTTGGAAGGGACCACAGTGGGAAATCATTGCCTTCAGTTTACTATTTGTTTAATGAAATATGTAGTAATTATTTACATATATTATCTTTTACTGCGAAATTTTCTCTTGATCTAGTTACTACTGTAATGCTGAGGCATCTTATCTATAAAAGGGTTATTAATTCATAGAATCATAGAATCATTTAGATTGCAAAAGACCTTTAAGATACTTCAGTTGAGCCGTGGCTTATACATTTTTTCTGTCTGAGAATAATCACATCATTTCAATATCTGCTTTAAAATGGTGCTTAATTTTACCCATAATGAATTTTTAATTGCTTTTGTTTGAGCTCATCTTGCTGTAACCTAATATGCAATCAAATGACTTGCAAACCTAAGTTTATAAATTTATGCACTCTGTGTTTGATAAACTGGGCAATGGGTTCTCTTTAGAAATAAATGAGGATGTGATCCTGTCAAGGTCAGATCATACTAAAATAATGAATTTTCTATATATAATAACAAACTGGAAAAAAGAAAACAAAACCAAAAACACACACACAAAAAAAAAAAAAAAAAAAAAAAAAAAAAAACCGAAAAAAAACCATAAAAACACAAAAAATCCAAACCCTTTTTCACCTGCACATTCTCCATTTATGCACTTATAGAGGCTCACTGAAACTCAACTGTATCCTGCAGTGTCTTCACTGGGCTTGTCTCAGGTTATCCTGTTGATGAAATTTGTAATCTTTAGCTTCAGCTGGATCAAAATGCGACACTGTGAGGTGCTATTGTGAGTTCTATTTCTTGTCAAATTCCTATCTGCCTTCATTGTCAGATCTCTTTCATGAACTGGATGTGTGCAGTGCTGGTGAGTGGTATGTGCAGTGATTGCCTGACCTAAAAGTATCAGACAATTCATTGCCTGTGGTAATACTGTGTCCAAAATAAAGGCATGAAATCTTCAGAGCAGATGGTTCAGTTTTTTGTCATAAATCTCAGTCACCATGGCTTTGATTGTTAAGAGCTACTAGAAAATTGCCTCCAGCAAGAGAACATTTTCCCAACAGCAGGAGAGGATTTCATAAGTTCAAAAATTGGTATATTAATCACTTTCATTCAGTAAAGGAAAAAATGAAGGGAGGTGAATTAATGAGTTATGCTCACTGGATATATCCTAAAGTGCTTATTTAGAAAACTGAAGTGTATATTTTAATATGGAGGGATCTAATTCAGAAGAAATTTTCACCCTGGAGGTCCCGCTGGCTTAAATTTTATTGTATGACATGTATTCGAGCATCTGTTTCAACAGTAATGACTTTTTTTTTACAACACCCATTCACAAAGTTTGCATTGAGCTAGGGTCTGTAGAAATTAATTGAGTCACAGATTACCTGGAGTGGCAAAAGCATGATAATTGTAATAGATTGCTGATTGATTACCTAGTAAGGAATACTTCTTGATATAACCTAATGGTACAAAATGAGCTGAAGTTTCTTGGTATTTTCCTGTATATTTTGAAAGGTCAGATGTCTGGTAGTTTGTTTACTGGTAGATGTTTAATCACCATAGCAAAACAGTATTTTGGTCATCTGATCCAAGAACAAGTGCCATACCAGCAATAATGTCTTTTTAGAACTGGATATTACTGTTAAATAATTTGGTAGTGACAGAATCACAGCCTCGGGTCTTCTTTTTGGCAACTTTGTATTATTTCTGAATGCAAGTCATACTTTTTTTTTAAATTCAAATAACTATAGTTATTTCTGGGGTAGAACAATAGGAGACCAAGTAGTTAAGCGTATAAAAATATTTTTGCCTTTTCTCAGTTAAGGAGTATTAGAAATATTAAAATTAAGTAGCAATAAACTTTTTCTAGGCATCCCAAATCATCCCAAATTATGGAGTGATGCTTCTTAAAAAATAAAATTTTGTGTTGCATCCCTAACTATAGGGTACTAGGATCTAAATACAATTAAAATTATATTCTAAGTTGTATCTAATTAGAATATTGAATAGCTTTGATGACCATTCGTGAACTGAGAGGAATTAAGTTTAAACAGTTTTATGTTTCAAACCAGTAGGATTTTTATCTTCTGCCTTAGAATCTATTTCTTTATTGAGTTTAGTTAATGAAGTAATTAACAAAAGTACTTTTTAACAAATCAAGACTGAAGTCTTTGTTCTGAGGCTTAAGCCTTAGGCTATTCTTTACAAGTTTTTCCCACTTCTGTTTTCCAGTGCTGCTTGGGGGAGAATCGTTCTCTGCCCAGGTGCTGTGCAAGCTGCAGCCCCCCAGCGCCGTGGGCTCTTCCTCTCTGATTTATTGTTGGGGTGCATGGGTGCTTTTAGCACCTGTGAGTTTCTGAGATGTGTTCACTTCTATTGAAGTCAAGGAGAGAAAAATATCTAACAGCATTTGATGTTAGACTATTAACCACTGCATCATATGTTTTCATCCTTTTTTGTCATCATTTTTATTTAAGTGCTCTGCCATCCAGAAATACTCAATCGAAATTTTTACACTGAGGTCAGTTATCTTCAGTGTAGAGAGTTAATTATGACGATTTCCAGTGATGCAGGTTTTATTTGACCAGGTTCTGATGCTCATATTAAGTTTTTCTTATATCCAGTCTCTCAGTTGATTTATTGTGCTTCTTACCCATTATAAGCCTGGAGGAAAAATAAGTGCTTTGCTCTTCTTAATACTGAAAGATCGTTTGCCCTGCAGACTTTCACCTTTCACCTTTCTCTTTTTCCTTTCTTCTTTCCCCTTGCTTTCCCAGCCTTTCCATCCTAAATCTTGTTTTCTGTCCTTATAGAATATATTTCCCAGACAACTTATTGTTCATATTTTTCTTTACCCTCTTATCCAAATATGTTTAAACAGTGACACATATATTCTTCTTGTGAAATACTGTGTTTAGTAGGTATTAACAGATAAATCACACATCTTATCAATGACGTTTTTCTTACTATTTTAGGATGTTATTTCCCATTTTCGTATATCCATATTATTGATTTATTAGCTTTTCAGGTGATGTTTGGCTTACCTGCTTGGACAGAGGAAGGTTGAGATGACTACTGTTGATTAACAGCTTCTTTAGTCCTATAATTTGTACCTAAGACGGGTGAATGGTGCTGCATCTGTGTCTGGGAGATCTACTCTCATCAGCTGAAGGCAGTAGAAATCCAAACCTCATGCAGGCACCACTGTCCTGAGTGTACCTGTTCTTTGATTTTGTCAGTGCTACACTAGTGTGTGTGTATGTGTGCCTGTGTGCATGGACACTTCATGATTAGAGGTGACAGTCTCTCTTGTGACAGCTGGTGTGCATAGTTGGTGGGCTGGGAAGAGGTGATCAGAGGTGCAGCAGTGTTTAGGTTCTGGGCACTGCCATCAGGCTCCAGGAACCACTCAGCATTTTCTGACATCACCAGTCGCCTTTTTTGACATCTCGCCATCTCATTCGGAGTGATCAGTGTTCTCAGGTCTTTTGCAGCAAATGACTAAGGCATAAAAAAATTCTTAATGCAGGGATTTGCATAGAAAAGAGGTAATCCTTAAAGACACAATGAGACATGATGTTAGGCAAAAATGGCATGTCAGAAATTTACTGGGACATAGTGCCTGTTGGATACAGGATGCCTGATTTGAATGAGCATTTGTTTTATGTGTCTTGTGCATAGCCGAGTCTTACCTGGGAATAATTATCTACATAGTGCATGTGGCCTTGTTTAAAGGTGCATGCAAGGTCCATGAAGGGGTCCTGAGAACTGCTATTGCAATATGATGCAGCAAAAGTAACTGAATATTTTGATTTGTGTTTTCCTGATGCATCCTTTTTGAATTTAAAAGATGCAGATGAGAACAATTCAAGCAGTTTTTTTTCATAAGAATGAGGGTGCTGTCAGCAATTTAGACTTCTCAAATGCATTGCAGGGCCTGCCCACTGGAAGGAGGTTTTTCCCGTTGCTAATGGAGACCGTCAGTCACCCATCGACATCAAAACTGAGGAAACCAAGTATGATCCCTCCCTCCGTCCTCTAAATCCCAGTTATGATCCAGCTTCTGCTAAAATCATCCTTAACAATGGGCACTCCACCAGTGTGGAGTTTGATGACACCGTCAACAAATCAGGTTTGTTCCTTTACTCTAGTACTGTAACTTCCTCCACCAATTCCTAAACAGAATGCCTACAGCCTGGGCACGTCTCACTGCTGGGTATTAACTCCTTATAAACAGTAAGGCTTTGCTCTTCTGGATGAGAGATTCCTTTTTCCCTGTTTTCAGCATGATACAGTGTGGGAACATATTAGGACACAAGTTCAAGGTTGTGTTTCTCAGAAAGTGCTGGATTCCCTACTCTCAGGAGTGGTGTGATCCAACCCCATCAGCGGGATAGTGCCAGCCCCCTGTTTGAACACTGTTGTGTACAATTTTTCAAATGCTGCTCTCTCTCTCTCACTGCAGGTGAATCCTTTATGTCTCATTACAGGTTCATTCCAACCGAATCGCTCAAATCTCTTATCTGAATTTAGCTGCAGGTTTGGTTATATGGTTTTCCCCATTTTACAACTTCTACTCGGACTTTTTATGTCAAGTAAGATCCAATACAGAACAAGTGAAATAGATCCCAAGTAATACCTTTTCTTCTCTGAAGAGTATTATTGCCCCAGTCTTTTCCAGCAGTATGCAGCTTCCCTTTTTGCGAACAATATTTCTTATTTAGAAGCTCTCTGGTTTATCATAGTCTTTGTAATGTTAGTGCTTTCATCTTTGAAACCCTCTCTTGGATTTTGGGCAAGCCAGCATGCCTCCCCTTGAAGCTGTAGGAGTGCAGAATCTTCAAGCAATAAAATCATTTTGTGGCCATGTGAGGCTTAGCTGAGGATCCAAGACCATATGAGTCTTTCACAAGTGTCAAAGCCAGAGAGAGATTAATTTTTGATGACCAATTAGTCCTGAGGATTAGAGATAAGAGGGAGAGACATAGATGGAGACACTGTCATGTTTTTGTTTCCTGAACAGTATTAGTTTTAAACTTTCTGTCAACATTGGATGTTGCCTGAAAGCCACCAGCTGACCATCAATGATCAGTCTGACCTTGTGTCAGATACCACGGAGCTTCCCAGAATTAATCTCTGCTTCGAGCCTAGTAGATGCTGGTGAACTAAAGCACATCTCTTAGAAAAATACACAATCTTGATTTCAAATTTTCCAGCGATGGTGAACCTACCACAGCCTTTGGTAAGTTGTTCTAATTGTTAATTACCCTCACAGTTTAAAAGAAAAACAGGTAATGAATGTGAATACACCAAGAACCTCTTCCACTCTCTTAACTCCATCCATGAAGTGACAGGGCCTGAACACAGTGTTTCTCTAGGCTTCTCCTGGTACCAAAGCAATGGTAATGCAATCCTCCTCTTACTGCTTTCCTGAGGCTCTATCTCCAAGGATGTAGTTCATATTATGGCAAAGCAATGACAGATGTTGATTAGATAATTAACAGATGGAATCCCCAGTCTCATTCAGTAGACTCCATGTCTTGTATGCATGGACCAGATTCTTCAGTCCACAGCCATAAACTGAGTAATTCACTATTTTCCCAAATATTTGTCACTGACAAGCTTTATCAGTATTGTTTTTGTTTTCTTTCAGGTCATTGCTCAAAAAATACTGAATTTTCTAGGGCCCAAATTTGGCTTCTGGGGCAGCTGTGTGAAGTAAGAACTCCTGCCATGTGTTGATTTCATGAAAAAAATCAAATTATTTGGTACTAAATACCTTGGCATCTTCTAATGCACTATTAACTGACTCCCATATGAACTATTCCCTCACTTTGGTCAGCATTGGAACTGGGCTGTCAAGTCTGTAACTGTTTGTGTAAGTCTGTTTATGCTCTTTGGTACCACGTTAGCTCCATTCTTTGAAATTGTTCTATTGGTCTTCTTCCAGCATTTTTCAAAATTCGAGATACTGATATTTGCCTTAAAACTTCTGGCTACCCTCTTCCTTAATTACTCTTGTAATAAAAGGGTTTTACCAGCACTATGTGATGTGGCACGAATACAACAACAGGCCGTTTGCCACATTTTTCAGCATAAGTATTTAATGCTGGTGCATTTCTACATAATAGTTTTCCTCAGCCAGTTAGAACACTGATCTTTACAGTTTTCTAGGATCATTTGCATCCAAGTTTACAGTGCTTAAAAGAAGGAATTTAAAAGTGCCACTGCCCCATCTCCTCTGTTTGCTAACTTTATAGGCTGTGTAAATGCATGTTTTTGAGTTGAAGCTTTAAGGAAATTAAATATTTTTTTCCCAGAATAAGCAGTCCCAGTTTCTTTTCATTATCCAAGCTACTTGTGTTAGCAAATAGGCTACTTAAAAAATTCTTCTTCCATCTTTATTTGGTGTATTTTTTTCCTAAGAAAATTTAGGTTTTGGACTAAACCTAGAAGAGAGAAAAAATTGCTATCAGCATCCCTCCTGCTCTTAATTAAAAAAAATCTGGTTCAATCTCCTCTCATTTATCCTTTTAAATTTCTATAATGAGCCAGTAAGCTATTCCAGACTGATTCCCAAACACTCAGAGAACATATGGAGCTGGGAGAGTGGAGTGACTTGTTTTGCTGTGAATAAAGAATCTTTCTGAGTGTAATTCACATTCAAGGCTCTGTGAAGAGATATTTTGATTCTAAGTCTGACTAGAAAATTACGAGCACTTGCAGAAGCAAAACAATGAAAAGCCCACCCATATGCATGTTAGTTTGACTAGAATTAGAACAGAACAGAATAAAATTAGAAGGAATAGAAACAGAGTAGGCTCTTTCAGTTGCAAGGGACCTGCAGCAATCATCTGGTTCAACTGTCTGAGCAGTTCAGGGCTAACCACAAGTTAAAGGATGTTGTTAAGGGCATTGTCCAAATGCCTCTTAAACTCTGATAAGCTTGGGGCTTTGACAACTTGTTCCAGTGTTTGACCACCATTGTGGTAAAGAAATGCTTCCTAGAATCCAGTTTAAATCTTCCCTGGCAGAGCTTTGCACCTTACCCACTTGCCCTGTCACTGGATACTTGAGAGAAGAGAACAGCAGCTCTCTCTGTGCTTCCCCTCGTCAGAAGTAAAGAGCAGTGAGGACACCCCTTATCCTCCTTTTCTCCAAACTAGACAAACCCAGAGTATGTAGCTGCTCCTCATAGGACGTGTTTTCCAGCCCTGGCTAATTGTCAGTAATATTGCAGTTGTACAATGCATATGCAGCATTGGCTTAATTTTATTTAGGTTAATATAAGCTTCTTTTCCTCAGACTTTAGTCTGATATAACTGGATCTAGTTGCAAATGAAGGAAAGAACCCTGAAAATTTAAGCTCTGCCTATATTCCACCAAATTTCAAAGAGGAAAATAAATTCTACTGATATTACCCTTTTTTGATCCTGTTCCTTATTCATAAAACCTATATTTTGAGTTTAATTTGTTAGTGATTCTTTTGAATATAACCAAGAGAGGAAACTCCTGAGTGTTGTAAAATAGAAGTGTTTTCCCATTCTCTGAGACATATCCAACCGTGACAGTAACAACATACCCTTTAGTGGGCTGTAACACACTAATCTGCCCATAAATGCAATTTTTGTAGTCATATTCTCAACAGGTGAGGGTTTCTGTAGTTCTTCCAAGAAATGGGAAGCCATCTGAGACAACTTATGAACAAGAGCAGACGAGTGTCCGAAGACTGAAGTCTGGTGTGAGGTTAGAGGATGTGGGTAGAGACTCCTGTTCTCTCAGTGAAGCCTTCCCTTCTGCTTGGGTTTCCAGTGCTGACTGGGGGGCCACTCAGCGGGACCTACAGGCTGCGCCAGATTCACTTCCACTGGGGATCCAATGACGAAGCTGGCTCTGAGCACACAGTGGATGGGATGAAGTATGCTGCAGAGGTAAGGCTTTACATGGAGTCATCTGTACCTCTGAGCTTGTGACTAGTTTTCCATTGCAAGAATACTGTTGCCCTTCCTCTTCCTGCTTTTCATCTTCCCCTCATTTTATCAAAAGACAAGCAGTCTTCCTGGAGTTTTGCATGTTTGGTCCTTTCTCAAAGGAGAACCTCTTTGAAAGCTTCGGAGAGGATTAAAAAAGGAGTACAGAAGACAAGAGCTTGATAAGAGCAAGACTTAATGTTCAAGCGTTATTTTAAAGTTTATCTTTCATTGTTTCTTCCTTAGAGAACATTTTCAAAGTCATCTTCAATGACAAACCACAGAATTACTGGATTTGGGGCCTGTGTAGTGTAAAGTTTATGTGATACTTAAGAATGTTGCATTTTGTGGTGCACTTAGCAATGTGGTGGTTATGACTCTGAGAACCATGCTTTAATATCTGTGGGATGCCTGCTGTCTATGGGATGACTGCTGTCTGTGGGGTACTGTGCTTCAGTGGAGGTGGTGTGCCACAGGGAGAAGTGCACCATGTGCTCTGGCATGGAGCATTCACTCCTGCTCTGTCTCCTTTGGTGCATTTGAGTAATCTGCAGGAGAAAGTTCTCAGTATGAGATTCCTTTTTGCAAATGGAAGTAACATGGAATATTTTCAGGAGATTGAGATCTTTAAAAACATATGATTCAGACAGTGTCAGAGTTTTCTGGGGTTGAAAAGAAGTAAAAAGTGTAAAAATAAACGGACAAATAAGAGGCATAATACTACAGAAGAAAAAGATATAATGTATGCACTGTGGTGTGATCAGATTTTACTGGAAATGCTATAAGAGATCCTGGTCAGGAAAAAAAGATCAGTTTTCTAACACTAATGGGGAAAAGTGACATTTGCAGTGTTTAAAGGCTTATGTTTTCCACAGGACCCAGGTGAGATGGAATATAAAGAATTAATACAGGTGCTTTAAAACCATTAAGTACCAAACCCAAATTTCTAGCTGAGAAAATATATGTTTCCCATCTAAGAAACCAAATGGAAGGAGAAAATATCTCTGAATTTCTAGCCAGTCTAAAAGCCTTTCTGTTACCTGTTGGTTGGGTAACCCTCCAGAAGAAGCTCTCTAGATGTCACTTTGGCTTTGGGATAAGAAACTCAGAATTAAAACCAAGGCTTCTGAATATTGTTCACACAAAACAAAATACCTCAGAAGGAGACATGAAGATGGTTTCAGTGCTCACCTTTGTAAGGAAGATGTGCAAAGTTTCAAGAAAAATCATCGACTGAGTTGAAGAAAGAATTAATGTATAGGTAAAGAAAACTGCAAGGTTTTACCCTGAAGCCCACCAGGAAGCAGAAGAGATCTATGGCTCCATTCTCTGTGACAACATACGGTCTGATCAAAGTCTGTCTTCACAAGCTGCAGTGACACAGAGGTGGTAAGATGAGATATGTTCCTTGGAGAGAAGTTACAAGCCATTGAGAATGGGTCTGTACCCAGAAGTGTTTCACACTCTGTTTGGGGATTTTGGTTTTGGGAGGGTACCTTGTTGGGGCTTTTCTGGCAAAGCTGTGAGGGAGTGGGAGTGGGATTTTAGTAGCTGTGGGAAATTACCTTTTTGTTCTTTGTTAGGTTGGTTTTGGTGTTGTTTTTTTTTTTTTCCAAATCCACAATAAAAGTAATTTCTGACTTAGAGTATCTGTTTCTTTTTTGCATATGTAAAAATGTAATTGTTTAAAAGTTGTTCAGCATAGGTTCTGTGAACTTACAATAGGGAGCAGTGCAGACACTATGAGCCACAGAATATAAAAGCACTTGAGAAAGGTTTAGTGGACTATGTTCTCCTCCTGGTTTAGTGTATAATATTCTTAGCAACTTTCCTTCAAGGATTTCAAAAGCTGTGAGCCAGCATGCATGTCATCGTCGCTGTACATGTATTATTATTGACAACAGTGGGATTCCTTACTTGCTGCAAGTAATGTTTCAGCACTTTAGAGCCCAAATGCTTGACAAATATTGATATCAAGTAAGACCAAGTAAGAGTTCCATTTTATAGATATGGAAAATTGAAACTCATAGAGGTTAAGCAAGGATTGATATTTAGAATAAAAATCTTCATACTCCAAAGATCCCTATTTCAACCATGCAGCTATGTTGCTTCACATAGAAATCCCTTAAAGCGGGTTCAGCTTTCCTAAATTGTTCTTACTTTACTTGTCTTGTAGGTGCTGTATTCCAAAAGGATGCCTTTTTTTTTCATGGGTTCATCCCAGTTTAAGTCATTCAATGAGTTGCTTTTCATCATTCTTGAAGTTCAAATCTGAAAAGATGGTCACCAATTTTAGAAAAGCCAATCTCACTCCCTGCTTCTGAGCATCTTTAACTAAAAACTGTGTGTAATAAGATTTACTAATCCATTGAGGATTTATGAAAGTAATTAATGTTTGTGAAGTACTTAGAGTTAAGTGCTGTGTGAGTGTGCTCTCTCCAGTTTGGCAGTCAGATCATTGCTCAAGGCTGGAACAACCTGGCACTTCCTGGGAACCAGGAGCTCCCATCATGAAGTGTGGTCAGGAATTAGGAAACCTGATTTAACAGGAGGGACTTCAGTTGCAAGGGAATAGACATTGCAGGCTTTTCCTCTTCCCTCCTGGCTGAGTAGTGTCTTTAAGCTTCTTAAGCAAATATGACAGGACACTTCCAGAATAATGCATGTTGGAAATGCAAATGCTCAAACCTGAGATAATCAAGCTGCTTGTAAGGGTGTCACTACTGGTAGTCGTAGAAAATAACATTTGAAAAGTGTCAAAAATTAAATGCTGATGTTCCCTTAAGCTAATCAAGGGAAAAGGAGTCAGTGCAAGTTTAATGTGTATTTGCCTGTTTTCTAGCTATTTATGTGGATGATTAATGTTGCTGAAAGCTTGATTAGAGAAAAAGAGGGATAAAATACTAATGGCATCCTCATGAATTTCAATCACTTTTTAAAATCAACTGTACTAAAAATGGATTTAAAACCTCTAGTTATATAACCATTGGCTTTTGTTGTCTTAACTTCTCGTTTCAAAATCTGGGGACCCAACAGCAATTTGACAGGCACTGTAGTGTGCTGATTGCTGCTAAATTTTTGATAACCTCAGCCACTGGAAATGCTTTTGCCATTTGTGTGAACTACATATTTACTGATTTCATGAAATATCTGCATTTAGATCACTGAATGATATTGCATACCTAAGAGTGAAATAGAGTGTCAAACCCAGTAAAGTTGTAATATTCATTTGTTACTATTTGAGTTCAGCGAGAGTTGATGCTGTCTCTGTCTCTTGCTTTTCAGCTTCATGTGGTCCATTGGAATGCAGAGAAGTATTCCAGTTTTGTTGAGGCAGCTTCTCAGTCAGATGGACTAGCAGTCATGGCTGTATTTCTGAAGGTAAGAAGAGAATGCTTCAGCCCTCAAAACAAATCTGCATTATAAGCTTAAAGAGATGATGTGATGGTTGGTGTAGTTATTGCTAAAGAGATACTTACTTTATACTTATTTCCTTCACAGTGTTTAGCTGCCAATACGGAAAGCTGTGCTTCCTATAAGAATAAAAATATCAGCTTAACAGATTTTTCAAGACTGTCAAACTCTTCAGTTTGCCTAGTCTGCAAGCCCATATAATATTAGATGTGGAACTTAATTCAGCTGCCTCCATTTGGATCCCAGTAACTTGTTTTTGACTAGCTTGTTCCTTTAGGGGGACAGCTCGATTTAAAGGGTTTTTTTTTAATGGCTTGTTTGTGAGCTGGTAGTTTCTTCTAGAAAATAATAATAATTTAAAAATGCAAAACCAGAAACTGGAGAATTCCCTTCTAATTATTTTAGACCTTTTTGCCTTATCTACCTGTTCTAAGATTAAATTCATGCAACAGCGTCACTAACTTTTGTATGAAAAAGCAGATGGGGAATTCACTCAATCTATGACAAAAGATAAGGCTTTGGTCAATTCTGTGGTTTCTGGTGGCTGACACAGCTTCCTGAGAGCAGCTAGTGCAGGTGCTGGAACAGTGAGAGAGCCATTCCATGCAGCAGTTGCAAAGAACTGCTTCAGCAATTTAGTAATTCTGCCTTTCCAGTTTGCATTACAATGACTCAAGAGAAGTGTCACTGGATTTCTTAGCACACAAATTCTGTTTGGAATGTTCTTACGTAAGAACAGTGTTTTCAATGTTATAAGCAGTTTAAATTTCTGATGTTGCTCTGCAACTTTTAATATCCCACATATTAACACATGAAAGATAAATGGTTTCTATTTCCCTACAGTGAAAAGTCTTTTTCTAATTCTTTTGTAGCTGAAGTAATTACTCTGAGTAGCCAGAATACTATCAGCAAGGGAGTGGATCTTTTTAGTGACCACTATAATTTCTTAGGACCAGCTAGTCGCAGGCTTGTACTTAGAAAATGCATCAGATCTTACAGTCACGGCAATTATATAAATGAGTTTCATTATACATTTGCTTTTTATTAATTTTTGTTGCTTTTCTCTGGAGCTCCACTGTTTTTTTTTTTCTTTGGTGTTAATAGATTGGTGAATGCAACCCTCAACTGAACAAGATTACTGACCGCTTGGACACCATCAGAATCAAGGTGAACAAGTGCTTCTAAAAGAATACTAGCTAATATTGGTGGTTGCTTTTGTTAGGATTTTTTATTTTTTGGTAGGGTTTTTTATTTTCTGAAACCTGAGTGCTACTCCTTATCCCTAGTGATTGATATCTGATTTGAGACAGTTAATATGAATTCTATTTAAATTGAAAACTAAGTAGACAGAAAATAATGTTTATACAGTAAAAGATCAGAGGAAAAGGCTAATTCCTCACAGAACCCAGTCTCTGATAAATCTCTTTCTATGAGGATAGTAACAGGGGAGAAACATACTTTATGGAAAGTTTTAAAAAAGATGAGGGAAAGACTTCCTTCCCTGTTTTGCTGAGATACAGGGTGAGAAATAACCTATTGTTTGTGTGAGAGAAATTGGCCAGACTGTAAACATGATGTTTTAGACAGACTTCTCTGGCCTGGTATCCAGTACAGGGAGAAGCAGAAGTAACTCCTGGGAGGAGTGAGTAGGGAGGGAAGCAAGTGGTAGTAACCTGTGTGGTAACTGCCAGCCCCACAGAGACCACTTTGAAAGTCTAACATCTTCTGTCTTCTCCCCACAACTTCCATCCCATGGTCATCTGTAACTTTGGGAAGCCTGTGCTAACATGACACCTTTCATGGTGTCCTGCTGGCATAGAGGAAAGTCACAGCAAAGCTGTCACTGAGGTCAGACTTTATCAGAAGGGCAGTGATGAGGACCTCCTGTTTCCACCCGAGATGCTGCCAGCCCATCTGATAGTGGAACAAGCACTACCTCCTTTGGCATGATTTACCTTGGCCTTTTGCTTTTAAATAATATTGCCCTGACATTTCTTTTATTTTCTTCCAGGGAAAAAAAGCACTATTCACAAACTTTGATCCCAGCTGTCTGCTTCCCAAGTCCTTGGACTACTGGACTTACTTTGGATCGCTCACTGTTCCACCTCTTCTTGAGAGTGTCATCTGGATTGTTCTGAGAGAGCCAATAAGTGTTTGTTCTGAACAGGTATCTTTGGATTTTTTACTGCTATGGAAATGTTGTTTTTGTAAGAATTGAAATGGTAAATGCCACCCAAAATTACACTTTTTTGCAGATCTTGGCACTGCAGACCTTACAAGATTTTCAAAAGCTAAAATTTGTATATCAAATTTATTCCGACTAGTTGCCTTTCTTGCTGTAACAGCTACTTATTATTCATTTTTTAAAAGAATCTGCTTACTCCAAAAATCAATAAACAAAAATAATCCATTGGGAACAATGGGAATCAGAGCTTTCCTAAAACATTTGGTGATGCTTAGAAATTCCAGTTGATTTAATTATTTGCATATTTTGCTCAAACCTCATCTTTGGCATTTTTACTTGGCAGACAAGTAGTAAATTTCTTCTTGCATTCTAAATACATAAAACTTGATGAATTTACTAGAATTGTGAAAAGGAATACTATTGTAATAAATTGGAGTTGTGCTAGGCTGTTTTAGGAAAGCTGTGATTCGACATAAGAGTCTATTTACATTTCTTGTTAAAGCTTCATGCTGTGTCGTAACTTGCCAACAGTGACACCCAGCGGGCTTATCCTCCCAGGTGTAAAGTATTTCTGAGTAGAGACCACATACTGGGGAAAATTGGTGACTTCAGTCTCTGCTAAAGATGTTAAGACAGTTCCTTGAATGGGTTGCTTGTTGGGAAGCCTGAGATTTCTGTTTGTAATTGATTTGAAGTAATTTATTTGCTCAATATGTGTATTTTTCTCATCTGTATCTCTTCCTCACTCCTCTCAATCTGACTTTGTAAGACTGACTGCAATGTGTATGGATCTAGGATTGAAAACTTGTGTTAAGGTATCACCTTTCCAAAGACAAGCCATTTTTCAGGTTAAAAGCTTTTTATTTGGGCAAATCTATAATTAACACATTCTAAAATGTGAAGTGCTATATATAAAAAGCCACATGTAACAGGCTCAGAGAACACAGTGTGAGAAAGTGTCAAGTATAGTCATCCTTTATTAGTCATTTTTCATAAACTTTAGCTATATCTTATGTATTAAAGCAGAAACTGCTATATTCTTATCAATATAAACATGCATGCAGCTAAAGTGCTTGTTTCCAGTAATGTCCACTATTGTGATTGATCAGTCAGCACTGTGACTGACACTGTTCCACCACTTAATTTCATTCCTTGAGTTTATATTTCTTTAGGGCTTTAGAGTTTACTCCTAAGTTTTTGTTGTACTTCTCAGGTTTAAAGAAATTAAAAATAGCTTTTAAGTGTTTAGAAACTTACAGGACCCTGAATTACAAATGTTGGTTTCAGAATGGGGTGAAGCAAGATAGCACTGACCTTTTCTGCTCTTAATGTCATTATGATGCAATGTGCCATATGACTAAATGCTTTATTATAATGGAATGGTTTTTGTGCTGTCCTACCTTTGGTAACCTAGGAAGGAAGTAAGGTGTTATATAGAAATACTAACAATTGGGAATATTAGAAATTAAACAAAATTCTATACTTAGGTCAGAAATCAGGCTCAGATTCCCCAAGGTTTAAACATGGAGCTCTGATGGGGTTTCTGCTCAGATCAGCATATGCTGAGTTATTAATAACTGCTTGTCCTGTGTCTTCACAAGGGAAGAATTTGGAATCTCTCCTGGTTTGAGTTAAGTGCTAGTTGCAGAAGCTTTCTGTAGCACCACACCTGCAATTCCAAGTTAATTGTGAATATACTCTTTGAAGAAGCAAACATATACAGAATGTTTGTATGATAAGAAACAATCTTTTGGCAAAAAGCATTTCAGAATCTCCAAACTATGAAATCCAACTAAAAAAATAAAACACCCCCCCCCGGTTTAGATCAGGTTATGGAAGACAAAGTGTGAATAGAGGAAACAAGAAATCCTTATGCACAGTTTCATGTTGACTTGTACTTTGGGGTATTTTCTCAGTAGTCATCCTTTTTCATTTACAAGGATAGAAATGGTGAAATTGCCATTCCCCTCACGACTTAATAAAATACAGTTATGTTCTTTCAGGTGGAAAAAAAGTGACAAGTGTCTTTAATATTCTCATTTTCACATGCTTTTTCATTAGTATTGACATGAGGGTTTTCTCTGAGCCTTTATGTCTCTTTTAATTACAGCTGGCCAAATTCCGCAGCCTCCTGAGTACTGCTGAGGATGAGGTCGCTTGCTGCTTGCTGAGAAACTTCCGGCCTCCCCAGCCTCTAAGGGGACGAGAAGTCAGAAGGAATTAAAGGAGTAAATCCAGAGTAGCCTCCCTCCGAAACCAAAGGCTGAATTAATTTTAATACTTAATATACTTTGAGATTTTTCCTTTTTTTTTTGGTGAGTTGTTTTAACAAATAGGTGTTGTTTTATTAGTGGTTTCCATGCAGTCATTTCTCACAGGCAAGTATGTCCAGAGTTGTCACAGGTTCATTGATGTTAACAGGTCTGACTGGGTTTGAGTGAATTTGCTTGGAAGCACTGAGCCATCAGCATTGCATACACAGAGGTCACTGCTAATCATAAGGGTCAGATGTGGTGAAGGAGTTGCCCAGATTTTGCCACCAAAATTACTGAACAGGATTCCTGGTATTTATTGACAGTATAGGATGTTCTGGGATTATTCTTCTGGTCTCTAACATAATATTTATCTTCTGAAAAAACCTCACATTGCATTTTCTCAAGGAAAAAATATTTCAAGGATGATGTAATTTCATTGCTGACTTCTGCAATACCATGATTACTTTCCTAGAAAAAGCAGTAATGACTAGCAGCATTTAAGTAAGACATATTTATATCACCCTGTTATTCTGGCTGCTTCATAGCAGTAATTGTGTACTGATTGATGTTTTTTTTAAAGCAAATAGTAAAGATTTTGTATATTGCAAGATTATGTCAGGTAGATTAAGTATTCCTGAATTAGGTGTTTCACAATGTCACAAGATGAAATTGTCCTGAAACCTGAAAACTGCAAGGTGGAAGGGCATAGAGGGAGCTGTTTGTGCCTAAACCCAGAATTTTGCCACTTAAAAGCAAGAGGCAGGGGTAGCTGTTGTTCCAGCTGTTGTTCTGTTGCATGCTGCAGTGTGAACCACATGCTGCTTACCTCTCATCTTACTGTGGAGCACAGTACTGCCCAGGTATAGAATGTTTCAAGGTGCTGGCTGAGGTTCTGCTGTCATAGTTGAACTTCAGAGGTTGCACTTTTATTCCAAGACCAAAGAGAACAGTGAGAGCCAAAGAAATCGGAATCAAGTCAACATCTAATAAAAAACTCAGCCTTCAATAGCAATATATTGAAATGTCTGTCTTTATGAGCTGACTTGAGCCTATGTTTTCTCTCAGGAGCTTTTTTATCTGAATATAATTGGGGTTTTTGACACTAAATATTTTTGTTAGTGAACATGCCATAGGATGTAGCTTAGGATAGAATTCAGTTTACTCTCAAACTGTGAGAACTACGTTGTGAAATCCTGTGATACCTGAAAGAGGCAGCTAGAGGTTTTACTGGCAGCAACTAACCCCAATCTCTGTAGTACTTCTGACAAATTAATCTTCCATAACTGCTCTCCTTGATTTCGTTTTTAAATAGGTTCTATATGCTCTGCCTTTTACCTCAAAGGGTCATTTGATCTTAGATGAACAAACATGAGGGAAATCATAATCAGGATTGACTTTATATGCTGTTTTAGAACAATAAATTAGACATAGAGATATAGATATTTTATCTTAGTTAAGATATGTGGACTTTTTTGTTTTCTCCTCCCTAGAATATAGCTATTATATCCTGCAAGGCCTCCCAATGACTTTTGAATATTTTCTGAGGAAAAGAACACAGACCATTGGAGAAATAAAAGGCATTTGGCAGCACTAAAAAGAAAAGTGGGAGTGTGTTGTATGTTTTCACTCCCTTTTTTAGATTTAGGATTTGATCTCATATGTTTCCCTGATATGTGAGTAGCAACAGAATGTGGAAAAAATATTCACAAATTGCAGGAAGGATACAAAGGATTTGTTTGTCTCAGAAGAGAAAGGAATAAGGCTACTGCTTTATATTGTAAACAGAAGTTTTACATATTTCTTACATATTGTAAACAGTGGAGTTGATTCAATGCTTTTATAAGGATTTTATCAAAATAAAAAATGGATTTTATGAATGTGTCTTGTATTTTCTTTTGAGGAGCCTAAAGTTTTACAGAGAAGGCTTTACTTCTGTAATTAATACCTGCAGCTTTAGGTTTGGAAGAAATTCTCACCCATCATTTGAAGTCCGTCTTTGGGCAGTATAGAGATGTCTTAATGTTCCAAATAAAAAATTTTTGGCACTGGTAAGACAAGCAATCAATTCTGAAAGTTTCTGATAATGCATTTTTAAACTATTGACTATTTTTAAAGTTATGCTAATACGTTTTAGAAGAAGTCATCATTCAAGTAATTCCCCTTTTGTGGAGATGCCATGTTCATGTTAGATTGGCCTAGCTGAAAGTTAGTGGTGACATCTGAAAAATATTAGAAATGCTCAGTTGCCTGAAATCCCTTCGGAACAGCTTCTCAGGTTATCCATCCCCTACAACCGTAAAATGAGGATTTGGACAAAGTCTTAGCTCGGAGCACTTGGTTGCATCCTCAGTCACTAATTTCCTCAACGCCCAAGCTACACTGAATCTCAAACAGAATACTCAATATGCTCCCAGAGAATCTTATCTCAAGTGCCAACTCCATGTTGTCCTCTACAGCAATTGAGGCTGAAATATGTCATCAGCCCCCCAGCCCCCCTGCAGCTGCCTGTCCCTTTGATCAACTCTTAACGTTCTGACACACTTGGAGCCTTTATATTAAGAACGAAATGCTCAGTGACCAAAAAATACATAGAGTGTATTTGCTGAAAATAGTAGCTGTCAAGAATTGTGGACTGCTGGGAGGCTGATAATCTAAAAACTTATTCTCAGAATTAAATAAACCACATCAGAGCCCTGGGGTCAATTCTGCTGATTTTGGCACAGGAGGGAAACAGTCTGCTCTGCTATGCTTATAGCATTTGCCATCGTTCTCATGATGTTTTTAATGTTGCACATATTTAACGTCAGCTGGGAATTTTCTTTATGTCCAACAAAAAGCTTGAGAAGTAGCGATCTTCCCTTCTGGAGTACAGTGGGCTGAAGATACACCAGACGTCTGTTTGATGCCATATACCCATTTGCTAAGTACCTATGTTTTCTCTGCTGGTTTAGAGATTTGTCCCTCAGTTGCTTCCAGACATGAACCGGGACATAAAGGAATTCTAAGAATTAATTTGAAGAAAAAAAATACCCAAGTTGTCAATTCATAAATCTCAAAATAACTTCACAGAAAAAAATAAGTGGAATATGGCATATGAATAAAATAAATATATATTTTATACAGTTTCTATAAACTTAATGGAAAGGAAATTCTGGATTTAGATTCTTGTAGCTTCAAATATGCAAGGGGCAGATTACGAGAGATGTTAAAAGCTGAAAATAATTGAGAAACTTGGCGCACCTTCAGGTTGTAAGCTCAGCATGAAGGTATGAATACCAATCTTGCTCAAGTGATGTGGCCCCTTTTTATTATCTATTATTTTTATCTATTTATTAGTCTAAAAAAAGCATGGTGACAATCTCCCTTATCAGTCTGCTGCTAGATGGACTGCAACTAACTTCTAACCTAGCTGTTAGTTTTTTTTGTTCTCCCACCCAATCTGATCTTGCTTTCTAGTTACAGATGTTAAATACAAAGATTTGGCCTGTGATTTAATATCTTAGATTCTACTATCTCTTACTTGTGAAGTGCTTGACTCAGTGGCAGAGGACCTTCTCCATGTGAGTAATGTTTTTATGAGACAGGAGATAATACTGAAATGCTGAAACAAGTATATTTCTAAATTCATGTTTTATTTCCTATTTCTGTCAACCTCTCTGTCATTTATGCCAAGTACAAGTTTTCACTGTGGTGAAACATTTGCATGTGTGATCTGTCTCTTCTCCTGTACAGCAGAATTTGAGCTCTGACAGGAGAATACTGGATTGTCATGTGAAAACAAAGATTCTCTGCCTCTGATTAACAGAACAGATGTGCTGCACTGTCAATTCCTGTGTCTGTTTCTATTTTATCAAATTCACCCACATACTTGGGTAGATAAATTTGATTAATTTGTAGATACTACTGACAGTTTAATTTTTCAGATGAAAATCATATAGGTAATGTGCAACAGGTAGAAAAAAATATGTATCTTGTGAAAATCTGATTTAATTATTATTCTGTCTCTGGTCTGTAAATATTTGGAATGAAATACCAGTTGTTTAAATGCCAACACTTTGCTTCCAGTTCTTTCCCTTTCTAGAGTTGTATGAACAACAGACAGAAATATGGCCTCAATATTTCTTCTTTTTTTAGCAACATTTTGGTGATTTTGAGGGAAAAAAGTGAACCCAGTCATTCTTGGTGTTTTTCAGAGAGGTTTTTCTTGATTTCTGTTTTCCCTTTGTCCTGTTGAAACTTCAACTTCTTTTATAGGTTATGTTCTCATTAATAAACTGGCAAATGGTGCTGATGATATAAAATCTTTCCATCAGAAACAGGTGAATGATTGATTGAGAACAGGAATATTGGGTTAGAAAAGGTGATAACAGACTAAGCTATATTAAGTAATCTAAGATTCTGAATTGACTGGGAAAAAGTGAGTGGTGAGATGCAAAGATAAAAATGCTAAAGTTAGAAGAGGCACTCTGAAAGCCTTCTAAGAGAAAAAGAGGCCCTTTGCATATTGCTCTTGCCGATAGATGTCACTGTGAATCAGGCAATGTCACCTGACCACTGACATGACATCCTGAGTAAGACCCACTGTGTCCTGAAGGCTCAGCCTATGAAAGACTATGCAATATAACTCAGCTATTAAGGATGTGCTGTTGATTGTGATTTACTCCCTTAAAAGTGAAACAAGGTTGTGAAAAAAAGAAAAATAAATAATTACTGAAAAGAAATAATTTTGATGCATAACAAAAGATGCTCATATTTAAAAGATCGTATTTAAGTGAGTATGTGCATTTAAATGCTCCCCTGTTTCCCATGAGTAATTGCTGCTGCATAGTTTCACACTGCCTAAAGACACATGCCAGAAACAGCCACTATCGGAGCAAAGTAAGTTTTTCTGTGTTTTCTTCTATCTGGAAGTTTCCCCAAGCACTGAGAAAAAAAAAAAATCAGTGTCATTTGTGTGCAGGGAGCCTGGATGGTGCA